GAAGAAAACTTTCCCAACCTAAAGAAAGAGATGACAATGAAAGTAAAAGAAACTTGCAGAACACCAAATAGAGTGGACCACAAAAAAATCTGCTCAGTCACATACTAATCACAACACCAAACATATAGAATAAAGAAAGAATACTAAAAGCAACAAAGGAAAAAGCCAAGTAACATATAAAGGCAAACCTATCAGAATTACACCTGACTCCATGGAAACTCTGAAAGCCAGAAGGTCCTGGATGGATGTTCTACAAACACTAAGAGACCACTGATGCCACTCCTGACTATTATATCCAGTAAAGCTTTCAATCACTATAAATGGACAAAAAAAGACAGTCCATGACAAAATCAGATTTAAACAATATATATCCCCTAATCCAGCACTACAGAAAGCTCTGGAAGGAAAACTCCAACCCAAGGATTTAAACTATACAACATACCCGAACTTATGGGATGATTTGCAAGCAGTAATAAGAGGAAAGTACATAGCCCTAAGTGCCCACATGAAGAAACTGGAAAATAGTCATACTAAAGAATCAACAGCACAGCTGAAAGTTCTAGAACAAAAAGAAGCAAACTCACTGCAGAGGAGTAGATGCCAGGAAACAATGAAACTGAGAGCTAAAATCAATAAAGTAGAAACGAAGAAAACAATACAAAGAATCAATGTAACAACAAGATAGACAAAACTCTATCTAAACTAACCAAAAGGCAGAGAGAGAGAGAACATGCAAATTAACAAAATCAGAAATGAAAAGAGAGACATAACAACGGACACTGAGAAATCCAGAGATTCTTCAGGTTATACTTTGAAACCTATACTCCACAAAATTTGAAAATTTAAAGGAAATGAAGAAATTTCTGGATAGATACCACTCACCAAAATTAAATCAAGAACAGATAAGCAATTTAAACAGACATATTAACCCTAATGAAATACGAGCAGTCATCAAAATTTCCCAACCAAAGTAAAAGCCCAGGGCCAGATGGTTTTAGTGCAGAATTCTACCAAAAATTCAAAGAACATCTAATGACAATACTTCTAAAATTGTTCCACAAAATATAATCAGAAGGTTCATTGCCAAACTGGTTTTACAACGCTACAATCATCTTGGTACCCAAGCCACACAAAGACATAACTAAGAAAGAGAGTTACAGACCAATACCTCTCATGAACACTGATGCGAAAAATATTCAAAAAAATACTGGCAAATTGAATCCAAGAGCACATCAGATAAATCATCCAATTTGATCAAGTAAGCTTCATCCCAGGTATACAGGCATGGTTCAACATATGACAATGTATCAGTGTAACCCACCATATAAACAAACTGAAAAAAGAAAAACTACATGATCATCTCACTTGATGCTGAACAATCCTTTCACAAAATCCAATACCCCTTCATGATAAAGGCCTTGGAGAGATAAGGGATAGCGGAAACATACCTAAACAAAATAAAAGCAATATAAAGTAAACAAACAGCCAACATCAAATTAAATGGAGAGAAACTCTAAAAACAGAACAAGACAAGGCTGTCCACTATCTCAATATCTCTTCAATATTATAATTGTAGTCCTAGGTAGAGCAATAAGACAACAACAGATCAAAGGGATACAAATTGGAAAGGAAGAAGATGAACTTTCACTATTTGTAGATGATATGATAGTTCACATAAGTGACATCAAAAACTCTACTCATACATCGGCTAAACACCTTCATCACAGTGGCAGGATACAAGATTAACTAAAAAAATCAGTGGCCCTAATATATACAGATGATAAATGGACTGAGAGAGAAATCAGAGAATCATCACCCTTTATGATAGCCAAAAAACAACATAAAATATCTTGGGGTAACACTAACTAAACAAGTGAAAGACCTGTATAGCAAGAACTTTAAGTCTTTAAGATGAAATTAAAGAAGGCACCAGAAAATGGAAAGATCTCCCATGCTGTTGGATAGGTAGGAACAACATAGTAAAAATGGCAATCTTGCTATAAGCAATCTACATATTCAATGCAATCCCTATCAAAATACCTGCACAGTTGTTCACAGAACTTGAAAGAATAATACTCAACTTTATATGGAAAAACAAAAGACCCAGGATAGCCAAAACAACTCTGAACAATTAAGGAACCATCCTTGACTTCAAGCTCTATTATATAGCCCTGAAAACAGCTTAGTATTGACATAAAAATAGACAGGTAGACCAATGGAATCGAATTGAAAACCCTGATATTAACGCAAGCAACTATGAACACCAGACTTTTAACAAAGAAGGCAAAATTATACAATGGAAAATTGAAAGCATCTTCAGCAAATGGTGCTGGCATAACTGGATTCTGGCATGTAGTAGATTGCAGATAGATCCATATCTATCACCATGCACAATACTGAAGTCCAAATGGATCAAAGACCCCAACATAAATCCAGCCGCACTGAATCTCTTAGAAGAGAAAGTGGGAAGTACCCTTGAATGAATAGGTATAGGAGACTGCTTCCCGAATATAATACCAGTAGCAGAGACACCGAGTTCAACAATTAATAAATGGAACCTCCTGAAACTGAGAAGCTTCCGTAAGGAAAAGGACACAGTCACCAGGACAGAGGACTGGTTTCCAAATTATACAAATAACTCCAGATTCTAGTCACCAAAACACCATACAATCCAATTAAAATGTGAGGTATAGAACTAAATAGGAAATTCTCAATAGAAGAATCTAAAATGGCTGAAAGATACTAAAGAAATTGTCCAAAATCCTTAGCCATCAGGGCAATTTATGTCATAACAACTCTGCGATACCATCTTACACCTGTCAGAATGGCTAAAATCAAAAACACCAATGACAGTTTATGCTGGAGAGGATGTGGAGAAAGAGGAACACTCCTCCACTGCTGATGGGAGTTTAAATTCATACAGCCACTGTGAAAATTAGTATGTTGTTTCCTCAGGAAAATGGGAATCAGTCTACAATAAGATCCAACAATGCCACTCTTAGGCATAAACCCCAAAGTGCACATTCATACAACAAGAATATCTGTTCAGCTATGTTCATAGCAGCATTATTTGTAATAGGCCCGACCTGGAAGCAACCTCGATGCCCCTCAACTGAAGAATGGATAAAGAAACTGTGATACATTTACACAATGGAGTACTACTCAGTTGAAAAAGCCTGCATAGGGTTGACTCAGGCCCCCCTGAACTTAGGTGTCAGTTAGGAGGCCTGGTCAATCTATGGGCCTTCTAGCATTTGATCAGTATTTATCCATAGTATATGAATGGTCTTTGGGAGCCCAGTCTACATAAAGGGATACTCTCTAGGTGTAGACACACAGGGGAGGGCCTACACCCTGCTCCAAATGATATGACATACATTGAAGTTACCCCTAAAAGGCCTCAGCCTCCCTGGGGAGCAGAAATGGAATGGGAAAGGGGTTGGTGGGGGCAGGGAGTAGGGGAGGGCAAGGAAACTGGGATTGACATGTAAAACAAGCTTCTTTCTAATTTAAAAAACAAGAGAAAAAAAGAGTCGGTCTGAAGGGTTTTTTATTTATGTATTTATTTTTTTAGGGAAAGCAAGTGGATAGCACATGGGAAGGACTTGGTGAGGGATGGTGAAGGAAGGAAGAAGAATTCCACTTCACTGGAGTGTGCCATGTTTCCAGCAAGATAGAAAAATTTCCCAAGTTGAGGACAGACACAACCAGACAGAAGAAACACCCAGAACTCCAAATAGACAAGATGAGAAAAGAGGCACTCATAAAATATTATATTTAAAACATTAAATATATAGAAGAAAATGAGGATCCTCAGAACAGCAAAATAAAAATTGAAGGTCAAATGTAAAAAAAAAAAAGCCTATCAGATTAACAGCTGATTCATCAAAAGAAACTATAAAAGCTAGAAGAGTGTGGAGCAATGTAGTTCACATTCCAAAAGACCATGAATGTCAACCTAGACTGTTATTCCCAGAAAAACTATCTGAATATCCAAAAGAGAAGAAAAAAATTACTCTTCTTCTTCTATGTCTGTAAGTCCAAGATTTGGTGGTTCTAGAGTACACCATTTTGCGTGTTCCTCTCCTGTATGCCTGCTAAATTTTATTTTCTTTGCTTGAAAGGCCAAGTTCTTTTGCCTTTTAAGTCCTTATAGTCTATCATCTACTCCACACATTCTGCTTATTCTTCCTATGAATTTTGATTAGTTTTTCAGTTCTGTCTTCCTTTCAGCTAAAGTTCCCTGTAATAGTCCTTTCTCTTCCTGAATATAGTTTCAATTCTGAATTGTCTTCATAATTTCATTCTCAATATACATATTAGACAGCACTCATACAGTTGTCTTTATTTTATTTGAGATATCTGTTAATGTCTCCTTTAAAATCCTCAAATTCCTTTATAAAATTAAATGACTTTTTAAATGATTTTTTTGTCTTGAGGTTAATTCTCATTGTAAAACATTTCTGTAAAACTAGTAGATTTGGTAGGACAGGGTCATACTGCTGGGACTTTATATATTATATTTGTTCAATGAGATCAGGGAATGTGGATTTCTTTCATTGGTTGTATGTCTGTTGTTAGATTCTACCTCAGAGCTGTCCCAGTGCACAGGATATCTTAGGTTGGGATAATATGGGTGATTGACATGGGACTCACCAGTCTGTATGGGCTTAGAGGATAATGTTCTGGGGTATGTCTGAGGGTTGTATATGGCAGGACAGGGTAGGGTCATCAGTGTTTGTCAAACTGAGCCCCACTGTTGACTATTAATTGAGCTGTGTACTGATTACTGCAAACTTTTGTGAAGGCTAAGAACCTCAATGTACATAAAAATTAAGAAAGAGCTATCATAAATATTGTAGTACCATATTGGAATAAATAAACTTCTAATCACTAGTTTAGACAAGTTCTAGGGGAGGGTTAATATGCAAATATTAAGATTTATTTAATTTTTAAAAAGCAACCAAGGTCAATGGAGTCATCTGAACAAGCAAATTCTGTTCATTAACTTACATTTTAATAAGGTACTTGGAAAACCCAACAACTAAATGCAAATTGAAGTTTAGAATTTGAACCACTAGTTCTGAGGAATGTGCAGAAGAGTGAATGCTGAGAAGAAAATTTAAAAAAAGCTAATGTAGATTTGTTTATGGAGAGAGTTAACTAGGAAATATGACTGACAGTTATATTGGAAGTACGTGCTGTTTTTTACTTCATTGTGCTCTGGGAATCTGATTCTTATTTTCAAGAAATAATTTCAGTGACATTAGTCATACAGACAAGCAATCTATAATCTTAGGCTTGATTCAGCTCCATAAATTTTTCACGTAATTCAGAAGTCAAGCACTGAATGTATTATTGATTTGTTATTTTAAAATATTTGGTGATCAATTATTTCTGCTAAGTGGGACAATGTAGAAGAAAGTAATCTCTGCTGCTTGGGATCATTTGAATGTGCTTATATGTATAGTTTCCTGGTGGAAGGTTACAAACCTAAGGAGAGGAGGTGCCCTTTCTTCACATGGCCCTGTTTATGTGTACAGGAAGTTTAGTGAATTTTGCCTTCACAGTTGCATGCAGCTTTGCAGTCTTTTTTCACAATTGGATGGTTACAAGTTAGTGATGCCTTCAAATCTTCACAGTTAGAATAATTATCTTCATATCCACAACTATTTGCTGAAAAAAGAACAAAGATATTCATTATCTTGTTATTATTTTCCTCTATTAACAGTGACAAAATAAAATATGTAAATTGGAAGAATGAGGTTGAGTAAATGAATGGATACCCTTTAAATCAGAGCTTTGGGAGATATCTTTGAGACAAACTGATGTATCTCCTCACTTACAAAAGGCTTAACAAAATTAACTGAAGTAATTCTTTGAGGAATTGAACTATCTAGAGGCTAGAAATATGGCTTGGTGATTAAGAGTCCTTGCTCCTCTTCAAGAGAAACTGGTTTTGATTTTCAGCATCCACATGTTGTAAGACTACTTGTAACTTCACTTCTGTGGGACCCAGTACCTTATTCTGTCCTTCGTGGTCATAGGGCCTAAATGTGGTTTGCACAAATACACATACACATGCAAACACTAACACTTATAAGCATAAAATAAAGACAAATAGTAAAAGAGAACCTTACTATTTAAAATGTCATCCATTATGCAAGTACCTTTTAAACTTAAATACAGTTAATATTTAAAGTCTATATTCTCAGCAAAACAAGTTTCATTACTATGTTCTATAGCTACTGTATCTAGCAGTGTCCCTGTGTGAAAATTCTGAGCATAAAATCATTCCAGAATGTTCTGCTGTTCATGATTGGCCTAGACTTTGATTCTGTCTCTCATACCAGCAGAGGTAATCATATGAAGACAGAGACTTGGATAGTAGGTAGTGGAGAATGCTGTTCTGATTATTAACTGTTTATAGTCAAATGTCCACCTTTACTCAAGAAAATTCACTCAATCCTTGTCATGTCTTTGACATGTATCTACATCTCATGAACCTGCATTCAGTTCACCTAGTTTCAGACAACTGGATACTCCTGATTACCAAATAATCCTATTTATCCTCTATATTTTTGGTATTGTTTATTGACACAGAGTTTCTTTGTGTTGTTCAGGCTAGAGTCAAGCCCATGCAATCATATAACCCTGCCAATTCCACCTCGAGAAAAGCACTACAATGGACACATGTCTAGTCCTCTTCTCTGTGTGGTGGTTCTCTGCAGGCCTTATAGCAAGTAGAGGAAACAAACAAAAAATTGCAACAACAAAAGATTCATGAAGAAAGAAGGAAACTCAGTCTGATTTTATTTTAACTGGAACAGGGCCACGACTTCTAGAGTTTGACCCAGATCATTTTATTTTAGCCATATTTAAGCATAGCACAATTTATGGAAATCTTTTTTCTGATGACAATGAACTCAGTCTCAAGTACAAAGAAGGGTACTGTTGACTCAGAGGCAGTGCCCAATATTTAAGGTTTAGGGAAATGACTGAAATAAACATAATACCTGTAGGTATCAGGATTGGCCTGATCCTAAAACAACATAGGCACCACTTAAGCTGTTGTAAAGCAAAAGTGACATCCCTGGTAAGAATAAGTTAATGACCTAAAGCCAATGCTCAAGATTTACATATAGAATTGGTGATAAGTAAAACATAGATTCTGGGAGATGCGGCAGAGCCTGTGTCATCAGACAGCAAAGGATCACCAGGTTGTAAAAGAGCAGTCCTGACAGTCCAGGAAGAAGAGCTATGTATCTCATTCCACTGAAGAGATAAGCTGTGTGCTTAACTTTACCAGTTTCTCCAGAGGTTTTCTGTGTGAGACAAGGTCTTTTTTTTGTAATCTGCACCTCTCCATATGTATGTATACATTCATCAGCACTAAACAAGCACAGTTAATAAAAAGGTATTTATTATTCCACCTCCTCTTCCTGTACCCTCATTTTCATAATTTTTGCACTAACAACAGAAAAGTGGCAAGTTTTGAATCTCTGCCTCCTTGTTGGTTTTTTTCATCATGCTTTTTCTAAGAGCTCCATGGAAGATTCAGTTTCCATAACACCTGGGAGATGGATACAGCAAGATCGGGGGATTGAGGTCACACTAGACTACATGATCAGTTCTAGGTACACTTTGTTTATGTAGTGAGACCCTATTTCAAAACTAACAACAGCCCACACACAAAATAAGTAAATATAAAAATGCTGAAAAAAAGGATCTTTTCCTTTCTATTTCTGTTTATAGTCTTTCAGTTGGCTGTTTATTACTAATAAAATAGACTCCTTTAAAACAGCATCCAGGAGATCTGTGACTATTTGGATGGTTTTTTTGGTTCGTAATCTTAATAATATTAGTACTTTCAAGATTATCTATACAAATACAAAAAGAAATCTGTAACTCGATAGCCACAGCAGGGCACTGAGCTGAATTCCTGGAATCCAGTTGCAGAGAGGGAGGTTGATGAGCAAAGGTGTCAAGAATAGGCTGGAGAAACCCACAGAAACAGCTAACCTGAAAAGAGGAGCTCATGGACCCCAGACTGATAGCTGGGAAATCAGAATAGGTCAACCCAGACCTGAACATAGGTGTTGGTTGGGAGGCCTGGGCAATCTACAAGGCCTCTGGCAGTGGATCAATATTTATCTTTAGTGTACAAATGGACTTTGGGAGCCCATTCCACATAGAGGGATACTTTCTCAGGCTAGACACATCGGGAGAGGGGCTAGGCCCTGCTCCAAATGATATGACAGACTTTGAAGATCCCCCATGGAAGGGGTCCACTTCCCTGGGGAGCAGAAAGGGGATGGGATAGGGGTTTGATGGTGGGCAAGGGAAGAAGGGAGGGAGAGGGAACTGGGATTGACATGTAAAATAAGCTTGTTCCTAATTTAAATTTAAAAAAAAGTAAAATAAAATAAAATAAGAATTTGTAATTCACTGGAGATTTGCACAAAAATCCCAGGGAATTGTATTAGAATTTTCCATATTAATTTTGATACCATATACCATTTTTAAACACCGTATTGCTAGAGCATGATCAGTACTCCAACCTGGATTCTCCTTCCTCTGCTCCCAGGATGTTGGGATTACATTTATTCTTTGTATTTATATCTATAATAATACTAAAAATGAGATACTATGGCATTCATTTTGCTCCCTGTCTCTGATGAAATACTAAGCTTTTAATGAACTAATATGTTCATTAAACTATTTAGTGCACAGAAAATTGAAGAAAAAGCAAAAAAAAAAAAAAGAAACCATGTAACTGACGATCGAGTGGAATGATGCAAACAATGGCCAAGGGCCAGTGAGATGACTCAAGGTAAAGGTACTTGTCATGAAGCTACTTGAGGTCAGTCTCTCACACCTACCTCATGGAAGGACAGATCAAATTCGCACAAGTTGTCCTCTGACCTCAACAGACAGCCACACACAGTGCCATGGCACATGTGAATGTGCCTGTACATATACAGAGAGACACAAGTACTCATTCACAAATAAACAAAATGTAACGGAAAATTCAACTGACATTCTGAAGGAACTTGGCAATTTATTGTGCTAAGTTCTTTGGTGGGCAAAGAATTGTAATATTTGTATCCCTCCTATGGGCTGACACCCATGTTCTATTATCTCAACTACTTATATTTGTATTGCTTTCTCTTCTTAAAAGCCAACCCTAAGTTTATCTTAGCCTTGAGGATAAGAAAATTCATTTAGTGAGTTACATCCGTAGAAATATTTCCGTAGACTCCAATGACAATAATATCAGTATAGCTACAAATATGGACTGATTTTAGATTTTTCTTTAGAATAAATAAAGTATTATGCTTTTCAATGTCAAAAGTACAAGCGTGTATTCTAAACAAAGGAAAATGATGTTAAATATATTTTGTCTCTATACTCAAACAGATTGCCATTTCATGTTATTGTATTTGTATCTTAATAAAACTTACTGCACAGTCCATCTTCACAGTCATTAGGACAACTGCCACATGGTTCTCCTATCGTGTAAGGGTTATATATCCTTGCGACAAGATTACCACTGAAATTGAAATGCAAAACATCAAATATTTTTAATTTTTCTCTGTATACACTAATGCTTGCCTATATCACACACACATATATGCTCCCAACAAATATGTATAAATATATATATATTGCTAATAAAAGCTTTAGCTATGTCATAGAAAAACTTAACATTTCCTAAGAGTGTGCAGATATAGATGTGAAATGAAGGGATAATTAATCTATTCACTCCCTCAACTATCATCTGAGAACCTGAGCAACTTAAAGTGTTTACATAAGAATATAAAGCTTTAGAAAGCAACATTTTAACGTTTAAACACTCCCTTCATTTCCTGAGGAACCTGGAAAATTGCTCAGACAGTGCAGCACAGGATGTCAGTTAGGTATAAAAGATGTTTCCTATAGAGAAAGTTAGACACAGGAAAATTCTGTGATTCCTTTTGTATGGAAGAGGTCCCCATGATGAAATGGTGAGGTTCAAGAACTTAAGAGCATAATTGTGAAAGATTCTGTGTTTAGGAAAGTTTAGGGTTTTCTGAAGATATCATGTGGGTATAAGCCTTTAAGCTTGTCAAAAATGAGAATGATAATTAGAAAAACTATCTACAAAAGACATCTGAAGAGTGCATACTCTTATAGTGACTAGCCTGTGCTTCAGTAGGATCATCGCTTCACTGATTGTCATACGGAAATAGAGAAGTCAGATTCTGATTGTCATATGGAAATAGAGAAGTCAGATTCCCCATTGTGCTAAGGATGGCCAGGGTGTATGAGTAATCTCCAAGAGCTTGCAACAGAACCTCTCCTCCATATGTGTAACACAGCTCTGTGTGTATGAGAGTTCTTAAGAGTGAAAAAGTCATAAAGTGTTGTACAAGTTCTGCCACTTGCTTCTCTCCATTACTCATCAGATACTTCTATGTGTGAAGTTCCAGATGTTTCTCATTTGACCAGGCATCTGGAAAGAGTCCAGTGGCTTCTTTCTTTGCATTTCACCGAATGACAACAGAAACATGTTTGAAAATCTTTTGAAGACATTACTTTTCTACTGAGATGCCGCACAATCTGTGTTGCCCACAGACATAGGAGAAATGAATAATTTCAAAGGCTCGACTTGAGAAGACGTTCAGCCTCCTGTTGTATAAATTTCATGGTTTAAAAAAGATGAAAATAGATCTGGAGAGATATCTCAACAATTAGGAGAGCACATTCCTCTTTTAGAAGATACAGGTTTGGTCCCCACTTCAAGTGGCTTACAAATGTCTGTAATTGCAGTATCAAGGGATTTGATACCTCTAGTCTCCACATATCTGCACATAATCACCTGCACCAATCTGCACATAGCTACCTGCTCCTATCTGTACATACCTACACATACACGCAGATGTAATGAAAATATTTTTAAAGAAAAAATATGTTGACAGACTATGAATACATATTCATTTTCATGACAATTTATTAAAGAGCTCAAACAAAGATCATAGAAGTGAAATGAATTTGTAGTGTTTAAAATCAAGATCTAGTGAATGGGTTTTTCAGGAAATTCTGAGGACAAAAGAGTTAAGATTATGGCTTTCTTAACTGTTTGAAATATATTAAGGACCTCTCTAAGAGTCTTTGATGTCTACTATTTAATAAATTCTTCTAGGTATAAGGTAGCAAGGTAGGACTAGAAAGATGGCTCAGTGGTTAAGAATTTTTGCTGTTTTTGCACAGAATCCAAAATTGATTCCCAACAGCCATATCAAGTAGGCCAAAACCAACTTTAACTTCAGGTCTATGGGATTCAATGCCCTTTTCTTGTCTTTGAGTGGTGTGTGCACATGCATAAACAAAGAAACAAAAATTAAGATTGGAAAAAGTAGCCGCTTGGCTAAGTCACTGATATGGTTTTATAGGAAGATATAACTATTGGTTATTTTCTCCCTTGGCAGCTTACATAGCATCTTCTGTTACTATGAGAGCTAGTCTGCAGAAAGAAGGCTTCCAGGTGAATTCCAGCTCGATTCCTCCAACCCCAGTGTCTAAAGTTGGTGATGATTTTAGTAATAGATTCTTATTTTCAGGTTCAGGGAGGCAAACAAGAGTGATAACAAAAGCTTTATTGCTCTGGATAAGGATCTAAGAGTAATCTATGGGTGTTGAGAAAGGAAGAATCAGTTATCTTCAGGGAGGAGACTCATGATAGGTTATCCAGTCACAAGTAGTCAACCCTAAACACTTGCACACAAAAACCACGGGAAATGGACTGGTTGGTATTATGTATGTTCATGTTATGGTATGTGAATATATGTATAGTGTGTGTGTGTGTGTGTGTGTGTGTGTGTGTAATATACCAGAAATGAGTTCACGAGTTTGACAAGGAGTGTGGGGTAGGAGAGGAAAGTATAGAAATGATGGAAATACAGTATTCCTATATGAAATCCTAAAAGTATAACATGTTTTTTTAATGTTAGAGACAGAGGTATGCTGTGTTGTTCTCGCTGGCCTTGAATTCACAGAGATTTGACTGCTTCTTCTCACAACTGCTGGGAATAAAGGTGTGAACCTTTTACACCACTCAGCAATTAAAAATTTAAAAAGAAGATATAATCAGGGGTAGGATCAATTTAATTAGAAGTCCCACAATCATTAACCTGTGTCACTCATGCACTCACATTCTCTTCTGGTCTAATATTAAATTTGCTTTGTTGTCTACAAACATAGCAGGAATTGAGACTATGAACCTCACAATCCCTATACTTTGCGTACTCATGAGGTCAACATTAGTCAAGGAAACAGCAACTGAGGAGGGAAGAGAATGTGTTTTAAAAGATAAGGGAAAAGCTTCTGAGTGTGATTCATGGAATTGATGATTTGGACATTTCAAAGATTTATTTAAATATGTTTCTTCTCTGAAAATATTTAAAAGTTTTTATTTCACTCCCCATGTGTAAAATACATCTTTAATTTGCTTCTATACTATAAAAATGTTTAAATGTCAAGTTGTGAATACTTACGGAGGACAATACTGACAAACATAGTAGAATCTCCATGATTGGCCAGGGCACTCAGCAACTCCACATCCAATTAGATAAGATGTATTCCATACCAACTGTACACCCAGAGACAAAGACAGGGCGCATTACAGAGGGGGAAAATAATGCAGAAAAACAAATAGAGAAAATACAATTTAAAATATCACAGGATTTCTGTGTTTCTATATATGATTGTGGACATATTTAAATTACTGAATCAAACTACAGATGCTAAAACATCCCTAAGGGGCTGCTGTTGGTCAGCTAGTAAGGATGTACACAGTGGAGTTTGTGGAGGCTAACAGTGCCTTCATCCTTATCTCAGAGAAGCTGTTGTTCTTCTTTAACATGTTTCAGTTTCCAAAATGATGAGGGTGCAGAAGCCTGGAATGAGGTCAAGGAGTTTTATGTCAAAATGAAAGGTATCAAAAGAGTCTATGGACACCAGAAGATCCCAGGTGTCATGCAGAATATCTTTAACACTGCTTCTAGCTCTAAAGTCATGCGAAAATAAACAGCAAGAGGGTCACCTGGATATCAGATCAATTCCTGGTCAGACATCAAATTGATCATGGTATTATTGGTGAATACTATTTGGGAAAGTACAATAAAGTGCTTTTGCAAAAACAAGTGCCCTATGTCCACAGAGGCCTGATTTGGAATGTGAACCAGAAAGTCACAGAAGATGCTGTTTAAATCGATGCTAACTCATGGCAATGAGTATCGTCTTTCCTAGTGGGCAGGGATACTGGGTGGCTTGGAAGTCTTGCAGGTACAGCCTGATAAAATACTGCCACTCAGTAACAATGCTTATTTCCTAGAAGTTATACGTAGTAAGAGCACCTATGTAGAACCTTGGATTTCTCAGTTCCCTCCCGAAACTGTCTTTCAGCTCAAGCCTATCAGCCTGCAGAATCTGATCTGGAGTTGCCTTCCTGCCTATACCACTGCTGGATATTCTCTCCACCAAGCCAAGCAGGATCCCCACGTCACCTTCTCTTCTAGGTTTGATAGACCCTTTTTGACAGTGGACAGGATGGAGCTATAGTCACATAATTCTTGCTAAAATAGTCACCTTATTTGATAGGAAAGGGCCCAGGGCCTGGGTTTTTTAGGTTTAGCTGGAAGCCATCTGGCAGGGTTTCTGGTAACAAAACTCCAGGAGATAGCTTTCCCCTTTTCATTCAGGAGCCACACAGAGCTGATGTGCAACCCAACTAAAGTCTGCATAGGCACCTTAGAACACAAACACCTTTGTTTGGGGACTGGAGCCAAGAGATTAGGCTGAGAAAAAAACATCAATATATTCCCTTATAACAAACATCAATATATTCCCTTATAAGTTGTTGAAATAAATCAGCTAAAACAGTCAATGACTGTTAAGACCAATTTACAACCAACCACTCAAACCAATTCCCAAGGGTGTATGGTGGGTGAGCACTCCCTCTATAGTCCCTATAATTGGGAGACTGTGATTGGAAGATAGGAAGTCCAAATTCAGTCTGGGCTACATAATCTGATCCTCTCTGAAAAAGAAAAACAAATTCTCTGCACTGAAATTCTGTTTTGAAATCTGTCAGGCAATTAAAAATATTTCCTTGCCTAGCACTTATCTAGAATACCTTTTCTTACCTGAGTATAATGTCCAACTGCTGCACCAGATGTTTTGGGGCCTGAACCAAAGACAAAATCATTGGATTCATCATACCATGATTGGATTGCTGCAGACCATGATGCTGGGTAACTTGACATGAAGAGATTCTCACCACATCCTATATCTAAGGAAAAAGATTCATGAAGACAGCAATGAGGAAAACACACATACACACACACACACAGGAACACTCAAACACAAGAATGCAAACACACCACATACCACAGATACCACACACGCATGCCCACATGCAAAATCCTTGCTCTTTAAAGGCATTGTTCACAGTTTCTTCTGAATATTTATAAGAAGCACAATTCATCCCTGATGAACCTTCAGCTGATGAGTAGCCGTAGGTATTCAGCATGTGTGCTGAGTACCATAATCACAAAGTAGACAATGATGTCTTTGCCTCAGTATCTTCTTTCATTGAACTCACTCATTGACATATTAAATTCACCACACATGTGTGCATGTGTGTATGTGTGTGTACCTCATGTGTGTCAAATATGGATTTGCAGTCTTAGAGAAGACAAAAATTAACTCCTTTCATTTCTCTCCTGCACTATGTAGCATTTTTATATAAAAATTTTTACATGCTGTGTGAGCATTCTTTACTGCCATTTTTAAAAAGCACAAGTACATAGCAAGAAAAAACAGAAGGGACTATATTCTCAAAGTTTATAGACAATTAAAATTTCTCAGGCTAAATTTTCTTCAGAGAATCAGGAAAACATCTTTTAACCCCCAAAATAGTTTTGTATTTTTATCAAGCTCTGTAACAAAAACAATTTCTTTACACTTTAACTGTGTATTGAGGCTTTTAAATATTTTTTAATCATTATGTTATTAAATTAGAAATAGTTAAGATGTAAAAGAGATAATTAATTTGAAGATAACTTGGGCTATGCAGGGAGACCTATTTCCTCTCAACTAAAAATTATAAAGGAAGCAGTAAATGTAAATGCTAAGATATTTAAGATTTCTTGATAAAATGAAGAGTTATTTGATAAAATCAGATATATTTTTATAATTAAAAAGATAGCTTGTGAACCCAAACAAATCACATTGTAAGATAAGATGCTGAGTTAAACCATAGGAATTCTAATTTCATAGGTCTGGAAGCATGTCTGAGCAGGTAAGAGGATATGTGTTAATTCAGCAGAGTTGAATCCAATTCCTAGCTTCCAAACAGTGTAGCTTACAACCACCTGTGACAGCAACACTGTAACAACCACGTGTAATCTACAAGCTTTAGAGGGTCTGCTACCTTCTGGACTCTAGAAACACTCTCACATACATGTCCATGTCCATACATGCACAGAGACACACATGTACATAAATATATAATATCAGAATAAGATTAAAAAGAGGTTATAATTTCAAATTTCCTCTATGTGACATTAATTAGTAATTATTTTCATCCAGACTTCGGTTTCTAAACTTTTAAGCAGAGAAAGTGATAATCCATATCTTTTTCACTTTTGATCTGGTTGCAAGGCTCAAGGCTGGCATCATGACTGGGTGTTGGTGGCACATGCCTTTAATCCCAGCAACAGCTGGTCAAGAAGAGGACAGCGTGGGTTCCAGGCCAGCCTGGTCTACAGAGCGAGTTCCAGGACAGGCTCCAAAACAATACAGAGGAACTCTGTCTCGAAAAACCAAAAAATAAAAAAAAGCAACAACAACAACAACAAAAAAAAAACAAAGCTGGCATCATGAAAGACAGTTTGTGTCAAATATATGCAATGTGGAGCCTTTCAGAGCCATCTCTGCCCCAGAAGTATTAAGCTTTTTTTAAAAAGCAGTATCAGAATAGGTGTTTATTTACACATTTTGTTAGCACGAGATCAGAAACTGGGCTTTGCTGTGTTAGTCTCCATTTGTTTCTGAGTGATTTTGAGTTTACATACTGATTCTTCTGTCTTCTCGAGGACTGTGATGAAAAGAGCACTGGTTTGCCCATCTCTGCGCGTTCACTTGGGCATCATTGCTCCATTGCTAAACGGGAAAGGCAAGGAAGATAGCCATGTAATAACTCAAACCTCAAAGTCACATGACCTTTGCAAACACGGTGATATTACTGTCTTATATCATTACAAAATTTCTGTTGGCACCTTTCGATTTTCATCATAATCAATTTAGAATATGGTATATATCCAAATTTTTATTTTGGCGTATATATTATCAAGTCTCATTGCAACATTTATAAATAAGTTTACTTCTGCATATTTTCCTAATCCTGCCTGTCCTCCCATGCTTGCCCTCCCACCGTTAGCCTCCCTCTGATGTCACACATGGCCCATTTCCTTCCCCTTTACACACATTCTATAGCCCCGTTCTTCCCCTCTCATGATCGTCTTAGTATTTTCATAACCTATCTCAGAAGTTACTCCCACTTACATATATATGGTCTTTTCTTTACTAAAGAAATACAAGTCGTCTGTCTTCCCAAGGTCACATATATATGAAATATTTAGTGGTCTAATGGCTTCCTGAAATCACAACAGGAACTCTTAAAGACTTTGGGCAATTGCTGTACTACTAGTAGGCACTAACCATGTGGAAGAGCTAAGACTGTTTTTATAGTTGTAAGGAGTTGTCTCATAAATCCTAGCTTCATTTTCCCCCATTCAAAGGATTTAAGAGACACGTGGACTTTAAAGGAGACAAGTTCTGACCCGAGATTAAGGGAAAGAGAAGAGCGAGCCAAATTAAGGTAGTGGCTTTTCACTGGAGATCAAAGTCAAAAGATTTGGTTTTAGTTCTGTCACTAGAATTGAGAGAACTCCATCATACCAATGTTATAAAAGAAATTGAATAAATCCTACTCTTATCATAGCACAGCTAAAGATGTAGAAGAAGAGAACCAACTCTGATGTACATGCCTTATTAGGTGGACACACACCCACACAGAGACACACAAGCACATAAACAAAACAACGGATATTTGCTTTTTTAAAAAAAGAGATGCTAGAATAAATGTAAACCCCCTTAAAGCACATTGGAGAATCTAGATGCTCTCAGCAGGCTTCAAACACAGCTCTCCAAAAGCACTGTCCCAGTGTGGCCCCTCACCATCTTTAGTAAGTCACTGGCAGGGGGAGAAACCATCCTTCTCAATTCATTGTGCTTGTTTACAATCTGTTCTTGAACGGAAACTCTAGAGGTTGACAAATTCTCAAAATCTTCATTCTGCAGAGAAATAAAATAGAAGTCATGTCAGTGTATGTTAAGGTTGCAAAAATGGTGAAGAGGTTGACTGAAATGAAGGAAGGTCATTTTTAAAGTCCTCATGACAGTGGTAGTCATTAATCCTTGACAAAAAAACGTTAAGCAAGATCTATGACATTTTCATTAAGGAACGCTTTATGCAAAAATTTTGAGAATAAGAACAAATTCATGGCATGTCAAAGTAAAAACTCTTCTGAGGCTACAAAGGTCAATTTTGATTTAAGAGAGACCTATACTGATAGCGATATACAGTAGAGAACCTGAAATCATTAACACTTAATTAGGTTGTAGCAAGAAAGTATTAAGGATGAAGACACATAATTTATTATACACCTAAGTAGGTGATAACCATATGACCAGGAGTTTGGAGGCTTGTGAGATAATGTGTAGGTCCAGACCCAGTACATGTATATATTCAGTATTCTATTACAAGAGAATTTTATATGTAACAGATTTCTGCACTCATTCCCATAACAAGTTTATCTAATAGAATATCCAACTCAGTTTGGAGGCAATGGGTTCTTGAGCATAGTTGGGTATTGCTGCTTTACATTTCAGTGAACAGAAATAAGACTGCCTAGTCAATTCAGATCCTGATGTTTAAAGCTATATCTATATAAACTATGTGCTTATATATTTATATTTTTACATTTGTGCGGGACAGGTGGATGTGAGTTGGCAGAGATGTTAGAGGTATTTGCTGGTATAAACAAACTCCAATATGTGCTTTTTATAGTGCAAAGCAAGATATTACAGCATAATGATTGATGGACAATGCTCACATGCATTATCTTACTGTTGGGATAAATTGTTTCTCATTGTACTACTTACTGCCCTCAAGATTCTGGGGAAATTACACCCATGGATCTAATCACACCGAATTGCAAGTTTTTGTCACAAGTCCATCTCTCCCTAATGTTCTATGTTCTGAGGCCACTAATAAAAGACTAGTGGCAGGAGATCTTCCAGAGCTACTAATTGCAAAGACAGAAAGGATGCACATGTTAGTCATCACTTGAAAATATAAAGTAACAATAGCCCCAGATGTTTATTTATTAAGGGAATGGCATCCTTTTCTTAAAATATATTTTTTAATTAAGTGTGCATTTTTTGTTGAAGAGTAAGTTTGTGTAGAGGAGTATAGTACGAGTGGAGGCCTGAAAAGAGTATCAGATCTCCTGGAGTTGGAGTGACAGGTGGATGTAAGCCACCTGAGGTGGATGCTAGCATCTAAAAGGGCATCAGCAAGAGAGTCATCCACAAAGCTGACTCTCCAGCCTCTCACCCCGGATATTCTATTTTTACCTGAAAACCCTCCTTAAAGTTGTTTCATTTCTAAAGACAAAATATGTGGCTTCTGAGAAAGCCATAATTATTTTCTGTTTGTTATCCTACCTCCCCTGGTAACTTAAAATTCCATATGACAATCAGTGTGCTCATATTTTCTTAACAGGCAGTGGTACCAATTCAAAACAAACATTATTAGAAACAATGAAATGTGAGACTATGACCTAATAATTGCAACACCACAAAGTAAAGCCAAGAGGAGCAATAATAAGTGATGTCTGGAGAAGAATCAGTTCTCTATGGTAACTCTCAAAGAAGTCATCATTCATAAAAGATGACGGTGAATCTATCTACTATTTGGACCATGAAAATTTATTAAGAAGTACAAGTAGACCAAAGATAGAAGGGAGGGGGAAGGGAGTAATAGGATGAAGGAAGGGGAAATAGATGGTTCAAAAGTGGCGCAAAATGTGATCATTTTAGGAAAGAAACTGGGAATGCAAACAACTTGAATGAACACCTAGATAATAGTCTCCAGAATGCTAATTTGATTATTGTAACAAAAGACAAGCAATTTATTTTCCAAAACAGGTTTAACATGTTACTGGCAATCCTTACTCTTGAGGAATTCTAGTAGTTTCTAATGCTGAGACCAAAGAAGAGCTTGAGGACAACAGTAATGCTTTTAGTAGTTTTCTAAATATAGGGAGGACATCTCTGCTGGTACACACACTATCATTAGAGAAGATGACTGAGCCTCAATTGGGATTTTCTACGCATAAGAAGATATTACAAATAATTAATATTTTATTCATATACATACCTTACTGTTGCATAGTAGATGTTCTTAACACCTTTGTGTGTGTGTGTGTGTGTGTGAGTGTACCTGTGAGTTTGTGTGTGAGTATGTGTGTGTGTGTATATGTGTATGTGTGTATGTGAGTGTGCCTGTGAGTTTGTGTATGAGTGTGTGTATGTGTGTTTGTGTGTGTGTATTTGTGTTTGTGAGTTTGTGTGTGAGTGTGTGTGTGGATATTGCTGAGGATCACACACAGGGCCTTGTGCATTCTAGACAAGTGTTCTTGAGCATCATCCCTTGCTCAAATCTAGCAAACTTTTAAAATTGAAAGTGTAGGTATAAACTTCTCAGACAATATCTATGAAATTTAGATGCAGAAAAATATAAGATTAAGTCAGTCAAATTTGAATACAATGTGAGTTTCCTATGAGAACCATATTGAAATGGATTAACTAAAATAATAACAATGCTTGGAACAGAAAGATTCATGAAATAAATCCACAGACATGAATATTCCAACACAAATATTAATTCAAATATCTTGTATAATTTTAATTTTTTGAGCACAGTAGGAAAGTATTTTAATTAATATCAATATTTATATTTAAAATTATATCGCAAAAATACAATTTAATTGTCATTGATATGAAATGTTTTATATTTGTCTCCAGTCCTAATTTTGATATCTATTTTGTGGTATAGATGTATACCTGTTTAACTCAGATGTAGCCTGAATTTAACCACTGTTTAATATTCACTTGTTGTTAGGTCGACAAGGTGATTCTGCACAGCTTTAAAATAAAGTCGACTGCTCTGACCTATGAACGAGTACTTTTTGACTTATTCCACACTCTGACCTTTTACGGTTTTGAAGAGTGATCTGGTAGCTTCTTAGCCTTCATATTTGCCTAAATTGTTCTGAGAAGATACTCAACCTTACCTGTTCTTCCCAGTCATCTTGAAGGAGGGATGGGGGCAGAACAGCGGCCAGGAACAACAACAATGGCAATAAGGTCATGTCTAAAAAACAAAGAAGAGAAAAGAGACCTGCATTTTAATGATTAGTACATGGATTTCTGAGTAACACAGAAGTTCTGGAGGAAGTAATCAGATCCATATCCCAGATTCACTAGCAATTTAACAAAGAGAACATGCTATTTATATCATCAACCTGATAAGAAAATAATTTTAAATAGCCTGCTGGCAGCTGGTGCAGTAAGAAATAAATCAAAGTGCCTAACTGTAGCTGCTGACGAAGGAGTCTATGAATGCTCTGGAAAATTAACTTCTCCTCCCACTGTTACACTCTAATCCATGGAAGTCTACTCTTCAGATTCTAGGAATGTAGGAATTCTTCCCCTATCCTTTCAACAATAACAAAAGCTCCCAACTATTACTGTGACAGGGCACCTGTATGGTCTAATTAAACCGTGTTGGATACTTTCACCTCTGCCTGCACCATTCTATGTTTGGTTGCTACTCATCCCTTAGAAGTTTTTCTGTTCTTTTATATTTAGACAGGGTTGCACTATATACCCCAATCTGGCTTCAAACTTACAACTTTGCCTCAGAGTCTGAAGTGCTGTGACATGTCTATAAAAGGCCACACACAACTCTATCATATTTTTAAATCAATGGCATTAGCTTGACTAAAGTGTCCAGTGTATTAATAATTTTACTCTCAAATTCTAGTCCATAATACTAAGATTGAACCTGAAAAATCTTAGACTTTCATTATCATATTTTACATATAATGGAAAATGTATGATAAATTAATGGCATGTTCAACAATAGGAAAAACATTTGAATAATTTGGAACACATACTCTTATTAAAGGGTATTAAGTAAAACACACACACGGACACACACACTCATGTATATACTCTAATGTGTTCCAGTATGGATGTATATGTATACAGATGCGAGGACAGACATTAGGTGTCCTCAATACCTCTCTAGCTTGTAAGCTGAATGAGGATCTATCAGGGAGTCCATATCTCACCATTTCAGTTAGTCTGACTACACAACTTGCTCTCCATCTCTTCCTTCTGCCTGCACTGGAATTAATAGCATGCAGCCACGACAATCTGGTTTTTATTTGGTGATTTAAACATCATCCCTTGTGCTTGCATAGCAAGTATATTCTCTACTGAGACAGATTGCCAGCACCTATAGCTTGCTTTAATGCTTTCTTCTAACCAGTAAAAAAGGTTTTTCTGACTCTACAATGAATAAAGGTCTATTAAGTAGAGGGATGTAATGCATACATGTATACTTTTCATGAAATTTTCCATTGCACCCTTTTGCCCTAACTTAGGCACACAAAATAACATAGACTGTGTTTGGTGTCACTTGTTATGTGCCTCTCTTTGGGCTTCATTTAAAACTCATAAAAACCTAGTAGGGAGATACTGTGACTCAATAGCCCACTTTAACATGAGCAATCTCAGTGTTACAGATTTAATAATGAGGTGTCATAAGAATTCAGGGAGCACAGCTGAAACCTAGGCGCCATCTCTGTGGCTTCAAAGCCTTCATTTCTGAAAGCCAGAGACTGCAGTGCTAGGGGATTATGTAGATAAGGAAATATGTCAATAAATTCCCAGCAGAGTTATGTGGGATAAGTGCATTACCGGAAGAATCACATGACAAGTATTCACATTCCACTGAGTGTCTGATGTAATATTTTCTATATTCCAAAGTAATATGTAATCTTCTCTCAGATTGCCTTGTCCTGTTTCTCTGAGCTATGAAACAGTAAACACAGAACATAAATTCTACAGCTAGAAGTCATTATAGACACAATCTGGACAAATATCTTGTAAGGATGACAGCCTTGTCCACTCCTAAAAAGCATTCTTTCCTTTTTCCATTTTCTAAGAACGAATGCCGCTGCTTCTTTGAACTTGCTAAACAGTAGCACTGGAATTGTAAGCTGTGTCTGATCTACAATACTTGGAATTTATGTCACTCATTTCTGCAATTTACGCATGCCTTTTGTAAAATGAGCTGTCTCACATCAAGGATTGAGAGCTACCGTTGGAGCAGTCTATTATCTAATAGCTGCCAGGATTGACACTTAATCCTAACTTTGACTGCTTTTGATCCAACATCAAGAATTTAGCCAGACTGGCAGGTACTGTAGGTTCAGATGTCAACAAGCTGAGTACATCATTTAAACACATGTAGAAAAGCATCAATAAATGCCCCCTTGAAATTACAATCTTTTCCAAAGTTATAGTCTAATATTCTCCAGAAACTTTTCTTGTCTGTTCCAAACACAAGTATCTTTTAGGAAAACTGCTTCCTCATATAAAATATACACATAATTTATACATGTAAAGAACATACAACCTACATGAATATATTCACCTATGAACAGAAAAATGAAATGTTTTGTTTTCTGCTTGTTTTAGGGGGCCAGTTATATATTCTTCTGATGATCAGGAATAGCACATTTATTTCGAGGTCAGTGCTATAATGCAGATTTTGCCCATTTAAAATCATTAGAAAGGCTACCTTCTCATCCATAATCTAATATTTACATCATTGCACAGGAAAATCCCTGTACTCATAAATAAGTTGTAGTAAAGATGCCTCTAACAGAACTATTTTAAAAAGTCTTGGACCAATTTCTGATTTTAGAATAAAATTTTCTTTCCCACATCTCTGTAAAAAAACAAAAAGCATTTCAAGGATGAAAAATAAGCCACTGAATTCATGTATACTTAACTTTACAAGATTAAATAATAACAATTGTTCTCAATAAAATTATCAGTATGGTTCTGACAATGATCAAGATGTGCAATCATTAACGATAACACTTTGCTGCTGCTGAGTTATAAATGCATTGGCAAACAGGAGACTCAGTTTAAAATAAAGAAGTGTTACTTACTGCTGGTGTCCAAGCAGAATGAGGTGTTTGTGCTTCTGGAAAAAGAAAGGTGATGACAGACAAGAGTCGGAACTGTCTATATGTACTCTACCTATTTCCTGTATTGGTACAATCTGGTTGTGCAAGTACGTCTTGGTTAACAAGGTATGACACAGGGTCTGTCATGCCAGATTTTATGGCTGGTCATCTAACTGAAATTTTGACATCATGTTGTTAGTCTGTATATGGCTATTAGAAAGAAATTATTAGAGAATTTTACTAGCTCTGTGGTGCTCACCTAGTGTTATAATGTATCTATATATTTGTCAGTAGATTCTTTGAAAGCTGTTAACCAACTTATTTTCATCTTATCAGAGCTGTATTTCTCTTTTTAAGGGAGCTGCAGAGGTGACTCAGTGGTTAAGAGATGCTCTTACAGAGAATAATAAGTTTTGTGTCTTCTACCCATGTCATGTGTCTGACTACTGCTTCTAACTCCAGCCCAAGGGGACTTGACAGCTTCTGGTCTCCATGAAAACTTTATTCACAAGCATATACCTCTACACAGAAGCAAATATATATATATATATATATACATATTGCATAATTTAAAAATTGTTCCTTTAAGAATGAATGTGAACTTATACTTTTCATGATTTCTAGAGAATTCAAGATTTATTCACAGAAATCAAAAGCAACCATAATTAAACATTGGACTGTATCATTTTGGAAAGCAATTGTGTTTTGCCTTTGTAAATTCAATGTAATAGTGCCTTCCAGGGTATATTTAAAAAGAACCCCAGAGCCATCTGATATTTTTAAATATACGTAGTATTAGCTTTTATTTTCTGGTTCAACAAAGTTGAACACAATATTGGGCAATCAAATTGCTACCATTTGAGTGTGTAGATCCACACAAGGTTTTACTGATTTTTAAGCTTGTTGCCACACCACAAAAATGAAGCAGGATAGACTAACAGCAGAAAATTTCCTAGGCTATACTACTATGAAAATTTTTTTGATAAATAAGCAAGGATAAATTAAGCAATCACAGTAGTGCATACATAGCACTGAGAGGTATTTCTGGACGCTCATGTTGTCATATACATTTTAGCATGTCATTCATAAATTAATAATTTGTTTTCATTTTCTTATTTCATTGTTAAGTTCACTGATTTATGTGAATAAGATATACCAGAAAACAGAATCTACTCAACACATGTTTTAATTATATTTAATCATAGGGTTAAATATTAGACAGTTATGTGTAACACACTATTTATAGGTCAGGGTGGATTTGACTACAAGAAATTAAAGGCTCACAGGTTGTTTAACTGCCTCTCATCACCTCCTCATGTGTATTTTTTAAATATACAAGTGAGAGCCAGGTGGTAGTAGTGCCTGCCTTTAATCCCAGCAATGGGGTGGTAGAGATAGGCATATTTCTGTGAGTTTGAGGCCACACCGATCTACAGACTGAATTCCAGCCAGAGTTACACAAAGAAACTCTGTTTGAAAAAAATCAGTAAACAAAAAAAATTTACAAGTGCAGTAGTATGAGCTCTAAGTAACTATGTAACATTCCTGAAGCACATTACCTTAGGATTTGCTGTCTCTACCTCCATCTTTCTATGGAAGAATGTGTCATGAGCATGTACAGAACAGTCTCCATCCTCACCCTGGTGGCTGCTTAGGGGTGTACAAAAGTTTCCTAACCTTGATATTTCAGTTCTCATGAACAATGGTGAAATTTGATTTTATATAATATATGCGGAAATTGTTTATGTACTTTGATAAAATGGTAAATATTATCCATTGCCATGTTGTATGTATTTTAAAGTATTCTTTTTACCTGAAGAAAATTATTCTAAATATCTGTGAATTACATGATAATAAGTTGACTTTACTAACCTATAGGGAGTAATTTTTTCCGTGAGTAATTCCTATACAAAGTGGATGCAAATGGCTAAAAGGCAAAGATATTCTGGCTTAAGATTTGTGCTTCACGAATTTTCTTAAATTTCAACTTTATGATCATTAAATGTGCTATGATATATAAAGATGCTAAGGTCCATGAAATAACACACATGCATTCAAGCATCAAAGTGACATTAATTTTTCAATATGGCTGTTTCTTGTCAATTTTGTTTCCTCATTTCTCATGATTTTGTGACCTTTTCTTTACTGACATATGTTATAGCAAATGTTAATATTTCATAACTCAGGTTATGAGTTATATTACTAGCATATCCCAGAGAATCTACAACTTATTTTTTGTTTGGAAAGTTAAACTGGTAAACTAATTCTTTGTCTACTATATATATATATATATATATATATATATATATATATATATATATATATTTCCATTTGTGTCATAATAAAACTTGTAACTGAGTACATGGGATTTGTTGAGAAAGTATAATTTAGTAAAAAGCTGTAAGGAAAGGAATGATCTAGATATCAAATGTGAAGAATGCAGAGAAATCAGGAGAAATCTAGTTTGCTACAAGCAAAATGGTTAATGTTCTAACCCACCCCTTCAAAAATATATTAGAGACTTGCAGGTCTGTGGGATAAAGGATAGTAACTCAATTCATGTGTATAATTGAGATGATAAAATCAAGGTACTTAGCAATTTTGTCTTTATCATTATGACTTCATGCTTTCAACTTGTAGTTTGTATCTCCTAGTTATTTGTAATATCGATAGCACTTAATCATGTTGACCCCTCTATATGCCGTAAGACAGAGTTATTATTTTCGTCTGTGTTTTGGAAAATGATCTCCAACTTTCTTTCACTATATATCATTGCCTTTGATAGTTGTTCATAATTCATATTGCTTTATCCCTTAATCAAAAATGTTATGCATTTAATAAATACATTTAAATAGAGATTCTGTGACATTATAATAAATATCTGTTATACTGAGACATGATTACAACAAAAGGCAATCTCTACTAAACAAAATAAATAAATAAATGAATAGGAATTATTTCCCAGTTCTGTTACTCAGAAGCTAAGATGTGTCCAGCAGGGCAATCTAACACATATGTCTGAGAATTACAGCACTTTTTAAAAAAATATAGGAATACTCAGTGGATTCTCTTCTACAGTTTCACCGCACTCACAATTTTGCTCATCATGTATCACTGAGTTATAGTGAGTCAGAGCAGTTTCATGAATTGGTTTAAATATGTAATCTCAATGATGAAGACAACATATCCACATTTACAGATTTTTTTTAATCCATCAAATTATTCTCATCAAACAGGCCTAGAAATAAGCCCTAACTCTTGGTGGTTGGCAACTGTTGAAAGATACGAGATAGGTTCAAGTGCCTATACCATTAAATCACCTGTCTTTCGGTTTTTCCTGACACCTTTGCAAATCTGTAGAGATAACCAGAGAGCACATTATATATTTTTCAGTACATAAATGATTGCTCTTTACTATTGCATGGAAAAAAGATCCATAGTTTTGCCCATTTTCTAACTTGTTAGTTAACGTCTGATCTTAATTTTTATGGCTTTAAGTTGTCTTTTGTGCTATTTTTAAAACTGTCAGAAAGAAAGTTAAGGTCAATGAAGAAAACAAATGCTACTGTGTTAAACAACTGATGTTTAACAAAACCATGTAAGCATAGCTAATATATTCATCTGGAAATACATACCTGAATAACTAAACATGCTATACTGACTTCTCATCTATGATGAGAAAAAACATATTTTATTTTATTATTTATTTTTTTTCGAGACAGGGTTTCTCTGCGGCTTTCGTGTCTATCCTGGAACTAGCTCTTGTAGACCAGGCTGGTCTCAAACTCACAGAGATCCCCCTGCCTCTGCCTCCCGAGTGCTGGGATTAAAGATGTGCAACACAAATGCACAGCTGAGAAAAAAAACATATTTTAAACAGTAATAAGTCACAACAAATGTTGGTGGATACATGCATCATCCCCAGGATGATGAGACTTCCTGGGAAGATGGCACTTGTTGACCCATGGAAAGCTCTGGATCAGGGCCAGAAACAAACACTGCTGACCAACACATACAACATCTGAGTACAGCATCTTCTCAGACTCTTTCCCGCTGTGTAATCTCTTGGGAATACACAAGTAGATTCTACCATACTATGACATTTGTTGTGTTATAGAAGAACATATCATAAAGGTAATATTGAATAGTTAAGACATTTGTCTTATGCATGACTTCCCCATTATCATATCCAAAGTCAAGCACAAAAATGTTTTCATAAACAGATATTGAATTATTGATTATCTAAATCAAGAGGAAATGTGAAAAAAGAGAAGGGAGAAGTAGGTCAAATTAGAGGAACAAGGAGGGAGGGGGAACAAATAGAAGAATGTTTGAAAACACTCTAAAGAAACATGTTATTTCATATTTTACCTAAAATTGCATATAATACATTTAAGGTATGTATATATACATACACACCTATATACATTCATACATACCTGTACACACACACACACACACACACACACACACACACACACACACACACATATAGTTATGTCCGTGAGGCTAACAATACTGCCTGTAATAGCTACAAACTATCTAACAAAATCTCCAGTACCTGGCTTTAGTAACTTTTGTTGAATTTTTGGTCAGTGGAGTTCAAGTGACTCCAAAAACAATATAGGCTGTTTTTGCTGTTATTCGTCGTTGCTGTCAGAAGTTAAAGGGAAGTCCCTGCTTCTGAAGACACCAGGTACTTCAAATACAAGACCATGTTGAGCTGGCTCTGATTTGAAAGCTTCCTTCCAGAAGTTGCTATGCAACATGCCAGTGGAGAATAGCAATCAGTAGCCCTAATCAGCTATTAGCCTATGAACTGCAATAATGACAAGCATGGTAAAATATCCTTAAAGGGGCCGTAGCAGCACTCTTATGTTGGCTACAGTCAACAACTGTGTAATTTCTACTTTGAAAAAGCATAAGTTGCTGAAATTATTCAGGACTGCTGGGTGTCAATAGGGTTTGCTATCACACAATATATTGAGAATAGATATGTGTAACTCTGTC